TTGTCAGTTTCACATCCTCTACCAGATCCCTTAAAGGCCTGGTATATCTCAGAGCTAGTCCTCGACCAAGTTTTTCTGCTTTTACTCTACCCTCATCCCTGTGTGATCTCATCCACTCCCATGGATTCAGATACCACCCATGTGCCAACAATTCTCACAGTTATAACTCAGCCCTGACCTCTTTTCCAGACTCATTTTGCAAATGCATTCAAGGTTTTTCTTTTCCTTGGCTATTTCGCAGGCATCTTAAATGTACCATGTCCGAAACCAAATCTTTGATTCCCTCCTGTCTCCAAAGTACACCTCCTCCATTCTTTACTACCTTAATTAATAGCATCCCTTCCATCCCTTTGCACAAGTCAGAGATCTGGGAGTCATCCATCACACCATCCTCTCCTTTACCCGGTCCACACCATTCTACCTTTTCTCAATTCTCTAAATTCTATCCACGTCCCTCCATCTCCAGCCTAGTCCATACCCCTTTCCAATTTCTTCCCAAATAGTAGCCATGGATTTTAAAAATGTAAGTTAGAAAAATGATTCTCCACTTAAATTCTTTGCTGACCATCACACTCCCTTATTCCTGAAATCCTCATCAATTTGCCTACATTTTTAACATCTACTTCTCCTTACTGGAATCTAAGCTCTTTGAGAGCAGAGACTATATAGCTTGTTCACTGAGTCATCCCCTGGGCCTACAAGGGTGCCCGGTACATGGCTTTTCTGACAGAAGCAGAATTAATTTCCCCCCTCTTTTTGCTATACTTAAATACTTCTCTATGAAAATATGCTGACCTGCAAAATGAGAGCTTTAAATACATATGCGGGTGTTTTCTTTCTTTCTTTTCTTTAAGTTAAAGAAACAGATATTTGTTTTATCTAGCTAATTATGTGGTTTTCTTCCCTTTAAGTGCACTACTGAGTGAGGTTTCTCTTATTGTCATTAATTAGTTATTTTAAAGAGAAGAGATTTGTAATACACAATGACAAAACACCAGAGAACAAGAAAACAAATACGCATAAAAGCAAAGTGCGATAGTTCTGACTGAGCCACAGTGCAAGACTAAACACAGGCCTGCCTCTAACTCTGATTGGCTCTATGATTAAGCATGTAACAGAAAGATGGACAAAAGGTATATCCTGGGAAGTAACTAAGATGTGAATAGGAGATGTTCTAAAAGGACAAGGTGCGGAAAGTATTGATTCAATGTTTTACCAATTATTAGAATGAATTCACTTGTGTTAAAAAATATACATGTACGTTGTTGACCAATGAAAAATAATGGCAAATGTCAAAAATACACAAAGGATTACTACTATATGAAAACAATTTATGATTGTATTATAGAAATAGTTGTAAACATTATTTTACACCTACTTATCTTACTGCTGCTCCCCTTCCCCCAGCATCTCTATATCTCCTTCCTTAGCTTAATCAAATAGTTCATTTTAGCGATACTTGCTAAAAAACAAACTGATATTCAGGGAATCCTGATTTTAGCACCAACAGTTATAATTTAGAGATAAACACTGATGGTAAAAATATACTGACCCCTGTATACAAGAACAAAGTCCTCAAAAACAAAACAAACAAACAAACAAAAACTTTTTATAACATTAAAGAAAAACTAGTTTCCTGAAATTAATAAAAATTCCCCACAACATCACTCCAAGAAATTGCTAATACAGTGAAGCACTTAAGTCAGTTCTTCACCAGCGAATATCTTCATCCATCAAATTTGCTATACCCGGAACTTTTAAATGGTGACTACAGATGCACATTCATGTCCTTGCTAATTCTTCCCTAGTTAAAATTTGATCCGGTGGACCCAGTATTAGGATGGAAAAGAAAACAATTTGGAGAGCATGTCTGGCTGTTGTGACCTGTTAATAAAAGTTCTTTAAATAAATATATAAAACCTTATCTCTCTTGCATCTAAGTCTAAATATAAACAGGACTTAATAAAAAGATAGCTTTGGGGATAAGAAAGTGGCCATAACCAACTATAAACACTGTCAACAGGCTAAGAGTTGACCTCCCAACCCTCACATTTGGTAGTGCCCCAGAACAGCAAAATG